TGTACTAATACTTAGGTTTATCCCAGCTGTGACCAGTTTCCAGCCCTCCTGATTATCAGGGGCGGATCTACTGGGGTGGCATGTGCCACAAGTGGTTGATTGTTACACTCTGGAAATGGAATGAAGGTGAGTGGCATCTTTACAGTTAACACAATTGTGGACCCCAAACCAAGTATGTTTGCATTTGGTAGTGCTATTAGTGCTGCCACAGCCCAACTGCACATCTGCACACCACATTGGCATCATTAAGATCTCAGGAATCATCACCAACAGAAAAACAAAATATTAATTGGGGTAAGTAAAATAAGAATAATGTTATTGGTAGACAAGGCTTGCTATGATGACTGCTAACATATAGGATGATGTGGAAGAATGGGGGAAGGTGTTGTTGCTTTGGGTCTTTGGGCAAGAGTTTTGTGTTTCTATTCTTAGTTTATTCTTTTGGATATTTCAGTCTGTAGTTCTTGTTACTTTTGTACTCTGGCTCTGTTTGCATTTTGAGCATTGGTTTATATCTCAGCATAACATCTCCAGTGTCCTTTTGTATCTTGTTAACACTTTGTCTCTCTCCGTGTTTGTTACTTCCTGTTTTATTTTCGCCCTCTGTTGTCTTCTGTGCAATCTATAAGAGATAAGAGACAGAGAAGCTGATACAGACTCTGGCTACGTCTACACTAATTTCAAATGATAAATTTGAAAATGACATTCTCGTCTAAAAACGCTCCGCGTCCACACTGTCGTTTTCAGTAGTTTCCTAACAGTTGTTCATCCACACTGAAACGACTCAAAGCGCTTGTTCCTGTATTGCGCATGCGTGAAACGAAAACGATTCGACCTGCTAATTTCTGCCTGCTGTTTATTTACTTACCGGCTCTTTGAAACGTTGCTGTAAAATGTTGAGGAAAAGCACCAAGTTTTTTAAATGGACTGACAATGAGGTGGAGTTCTTGCTGCAAGTAACACAAAAGTACAAAGTAGCAAAAGTGAGTGACAATTAAAGAATTTTCTAAATGCTCCGGATTCGCAGTTCACACTGCGATTCGAAAACAGTGTTTTCAAATGTATCCGCTTTGGAGAGCATTTTCAAAGAGCTCAGTTTTCCTTGACCAAACATGCCGTCTCAGTGTGGACGGAAGGCCAAAACGGAGAGAAAAAGATGCGTTTTCAAATGAAAACATATTATGTGGACATGGCCTCTGGGTAGTAGGGAATTAGTTGCCAGATGATTTGGAAAGTACAGCTTAAGTGATGAGGGAAATTCCCAAGAAGGTGTTGTGTCCTCTGGACTGTGGAATTGGTGGTGGAATGAGGAAGTAAAGGAAAGTGTTCAAAACAAAGAGATCAGCGAAGAAAAAGAGGGGTAGTGAAGGACATGAAGAAAGTAGACTAGAGCAGCGGTCTCCAACCTTTTTTGCGCCACGGACCGGTTTATGCCCGACAATATTTCCATGGACCGGCCTTTAAGGTGTCGCGGATAAATACAACAAAATAAAACTAGTACCGGTACCGAAAAAAAGAAATTTATTCATAACACACGTGAAAAGACCAAGGAAAACCGAGTAAACGATAAAAACGAATAACAAAATAACGCTGAAAACCGATAAAAACCCTGAAAACTATACATTTCACACCTGAGCCTCAACTCTCGCGGCCCGGTACCAAACGACTCACGGACCGGTACCGGTCCAAGGCCCGGGGGTTGGGGACCGCTGGACTAGAGCACTGGGCGGCTAGGCGTACAGAAAAGAGAGAGGTAGCAAAGAGACAGCAAAGAGAAAAGACTTTTATCGACTTGTCTGAGAGAGAGGGTAGTTGCTGAGATAGTTTAGATATCTGCAGAGAAGATATAGAGTTGATGTATTTGACCAAAGATGTTGATTATGGAGCTTCCAGGTGCTGGACCACATAGATGATTCATGGATGTGATGAAAGAGGAGATGCAGAGGGTTGGTGTGACAGAGGAGGGATAGGGTGAGATGGAGGTGATCCACTGTGGAGAGCATGCTAGGGAGCAGCCAGAAGAGGAAGAATGAAAACAGATAACCTATCTAACCAATTCAGGTTAAACTATTGCACTGATAAGATACCATATCTTGGTATTGTATCTTGATAGGATAAAATCTTGGTATCTTATCAAGATATGTTTGTTTTAGATTTGCTCTCACGTGATTTTTACTGTAAGATATGAGGAATAGGCTTTGATATAATCTGACCTCCTTTCTGTTTTATGCAGGTAGTGTCATACAACATTCAAGTCTTACAATTAGAGTCATTACAGAAGATGTCGTTAGGCCCCCGTTTTTTTAACAAATAAAAATGTAAAAAAAATCTTTTGAATTTGAAGAAAAAACATACAAACTTGTCATATCTAAGATGGATTACATCTTACAAGCGCACTCAGAATAAGACCTCTGATGCAAATTGATACATCTTGGAGAAGCTCACTGCGGCGTGAGTTCTCAGAATCGCTCTTTGAGCACAAGAATGACAACATCACGGAGCGTAAGTTTGATAACATCATGGAGAAGCTCACGGCTCTCCAACGGGAGATTGAGAGACCAGTGTCGGACTGTTAGAACAGCTTTGAAATTCACATGAGTTGTTCGCACTAAAGTAAAAACCACCATCACTTCATGCGGCTACCACTTCGGCGCCAGCTGTGATCTCAAGGCTGGAGCTGAACAAAAACACCCTGATAACAGACTGTGCTTAGACTGTTCTTCCTATCCTACGCAAGGCCACCTGGGTTGGCTGGAAGACTGTTTACTTAGCCTAGCAGGGCGAAGGACACTGTCTCAGCTGAACTCTGGACACACACACACACTGATACACACTCATCCCCCCTCCCTTTCCAAACACCTTCGATGCTTGTCCCCTCCCGGGGAAGATGACGGTCGACTGGACCAGCGCAGACAATCTGCACGACCGGATGCGCTGTCTACACCGGCTCTCTCTTACCCTTTACCCACCCCTGTTGCTTGTCTTGTGTTTCTATGGTGTATTGATAGTCATGTGCTTTTTGTGCTGAGGTGTTTTTTCTGTTATCAAACTGTTCTCCCACTAGGAGCTCAGTCTGAGTGGAGTTTTTTTCTCTCCTCCTCTTACCTCATGTTATGTATTTTCGTTGTTTTTTTCCTATCAGCCTACCTTTCTGACATGTCTTCCCAATGTGATGTTTGTGTAAAGTTTGGTCAGAAGGTTCCTTTGTAAGTGCGCATGCGCCATTAGCGTGCTGCCTGCTGTAACCCTAATTTCCTTCGGGATTAATAAAGTATTCTGATTCTGATTCTTAGATCAAAATATTACATAGACAAGACATCATATTATCCAAAACTAAAGTGCACATGATAAGACCCAATGGGAAATAGTGATGTTATTTGATCTGGTCATATTCTATAATATTTGCCTCAAAGGCATGAATTCATCTGTAAAGAAAAACTAACATTTTTTCTGCCTATAGTCTGTTTTAAGATTAAAAGAACAAAAGCCTAGTGTTTGAAGTTAGTGAAAGAAAAAACAAGTGGCTCAACAGCATGATCAATTCATTTCACTTTTACTAACAATAGAAGCATTTAGACTGTCAAACACATGTATAAAAATTATAATACAACCAGCCCAAGTAGCCTCTTTTTCTCAACTAAAAGCCTGTAAACAAAAACACTAGTGATGACAATGCTGTCTTATGCAGCAGTAGCCTCTCCTCTCGGACACACACGGCAATCAGCTTGTTACTATAAATACAATGAAAACCTTCACAGCCTTTATAAAACCATCTGATCAACTAGCATAACTGAAGAATTTTTTCAACTACTCCCGTCTGTGTGACGCCAAACTGACTGACTGCTAAATGTAGATTTGATTTTAAATTTTCCTCAGTTACTTTTATAGTCTTCTGTAAGCTAAATTGAGTTCACTGACTGAAAAAGTGCTCTAGCCTGTGAGCTTCAGGTCAAGGGTGTAAAACAGACTTTACAGGAAGGCGACACATAAAAACGCATTTATGCATTTTTGGAGTCACCAACTGAATACATGCAAATTCTGGCAGCAATGCAATGCATGCAGTTTGTGTTGATGTCACGGTGACATGCACAAAAAGCATTCCTTCAGTGGAGTCTCTGTTGCACTGCTTGACAATTTTAAATTATAACTCAGGTCACATAAAAGGTGCTCAGTGTTAAGTTACTATGGCGATCTTACCAGGTACAAAGGAAGGCCACCTTTGTCACACTGAAATCTCGAGTTGAGGCTCAGCACAGCTCAGTAACCTGTTACATACATATATACATTATATATAATATTTATTTATATATATATAAATTATAATTTGAGTAAAAAAAAAAAAAAAGCACTGGATTGGACTCTAGACCAGTCAATCAAAAAGTAAACTCAGAGACACACCCCTGAAAACATTAGCCATTACATGACCTTCAGCCACAGCATTCATCACATCACTTAACGTCCACCAGTGTGATAGCTTTATTTACAATAAAATAAATGAAATGTGAGGGTAAATAGCTTACTAAACACAAATCCAGTGTTTTGTTGGAGGCATCAAATGTAATAACAGGAGAGCGTAATTTTTACTTTGGTGCCTACAGAGTAGCATGAAAGACAGATATATCATCCTGGTCTAAACAGCATTATTTACCATTATTTAGCACTAATTAGGTGGTGCAGTTTGGTCGGTAACCTTTTGGAAAACTTTACAATTCTTGTAATTTTGTTTTTAACCTCCTAGGACCTGGCGTCCACATATGTGGACATCACATTTTGGGATGTCTAGACCAAAATACCTAATTTTGCTCTACAAGGGACTGATTTCCACTTACGAGGACATTATACTGCCACTGTTCTATCAAAATTTAAAACGAATGTCCTCATATGTTGATCTCATTTTTCTCAGAAACAAAAATTAGGTTATAAAAAAAAAAATCAGGTAATTCTTTGTTTTTATATTCATTAGGTCCCAATCAGCCCAAATGGCAAAGAAAAATTAAAAATGCATGCCGTGAAAGAGTTCAGGTCTTAGGAGGTTAAATAATAAAGTCGAGATGTTATTGAAGGGCTGACCTTCAGCTTTAATTCAAAGGGTTTAACAAAACTATTAACTGCTTAGGAAGCCATTTTATACATAGTTCTGTATTTCAGAGGTTCAAAATTAACTAGATAAAATAACATAATTTTACATTTGAATACTTGGATGAGGATTCTTTGCTCTCAATAACTGCCTGAAGTTTAGAATCCATGAACATCACCAATCCCCCTCCGCGATTCGCTACCTTATCGTGGTGGAGGGTTTTGTGTGTTCCAGGGATCCCAGGGGCTGTGTTGTCTGAGGGCTTCTGCCCCCTGGTAGGGTCTCCCATGGCAAATTGGTCCTGGGTGAGGGACCAGACAAAGAGCGGTTCAGAAGACCATTATGAGAAGAGAACAGTTCACCCTGCCTGGGATAGGGTTACCAGGGCCCTTCCCTGGAGCCAGGCTCAGGGAGGGTGCCCGAGGGCGAGCGTATGGTGGCCAGGCCTTAGTCCATTGAGCCCAGCCGGGCACAGCCCGAAAAAAGGACATAGGCCCATCGTCCTGCAGGCCCACCACCCGCAGGAGGTATCACAGGGGTCGGGTGCATCGTGTGTCGGGCAGCAGCCAGGAGCGGAGGCCCTGGCAGACCGATCCCCGGCTACCAAGACAGCAACTGGGACGTGTGAACATCACCAAATGCTGTGGCTCCTCCTCTGAGATGCTCTAACAGGCTTTTATTGAGCCCATGTTCAGTTGTTACTTGTTTGTGGGTCTTTCTGCCTTCAGTAACTGTAAACTATGGTCTACTAGGGTTCAGATCAGTGACTGATGTGTCTATTGAAGAATATCCCATTTCGTTGCCTTGAGAAATTCTTGCAGGATTTTGTTTAATCTGAGCAGAAAGTACAGTCGTGTACTCATCACCAGGAGTCACATCATCAGTAAACACAAAGTTAACTTGTTTCTATTCTTAACCATACATGCCAAGGCCATGACATTACCTGGTGATGTGGTATATTCTGGATCATACTCCTTCTTTATTTGACCACTCGTGAACTCTTCATTATCTTGCTCATAGGTATATATGTCTTTAAGTCAAATGATGGCCTGACTAAGCTGTTAATGCTGTACTTTTGTAAAAACCTCTTGAATTCAAGCTGGAATCTGCACTTCACTCATATCTAGAAAATTCAGTGTTGCAGTGTACAGAGGAAAGATCACAGAAACGGTCATTGTCCAAAAGCTTACAGACCTGATTTTCATCATGTAATACAAATGACAACCTCATGGTGACGCCAGAGGAAAAGTCATCTGTTAACCAAAGTCATTCAAATCCTCCTTCTTTGACTGTTGATACCCATCCCAAATTTAATGGCAGTTTATCAAAATATGGAAAGTCAGTAAACCAACCCAGAGAGGAATCCAGTGTTTTTTTGAAAAAGATTATATTAGTTCCAGTAATAAAGAAAATGTTTTGTGAATATAATAATAAGGTTGGATATAATGTACTTAGCATATAACATGTGAAATAACATATTAAATTCTACAATGTAACATCAGTTTGATTAAATCATATAGAATGAATTTGAAAAAAGGATTTAATTACATCATAGAAAGTCTTTCTGATATTACAGGATGTTACAAGCTCACCGAGCTGATTTATCCCGCAAAACAAAAAGAAGAAATGGTGGCATTTATTACTTCTAGGCTGGACTACTGTAATTCATTATCAGGATGTCCTAAAAATTCCCTGAAAACCCTCCAGCTGATCGAAAATACTGCAGCAAGAGTACTGACACAGACTAGAAAGCGAGCAGATTTCTCCGATATTTGTTTCTCTTCACTGGCTTCCTGTTAAATCCAGAATCAGATTTAAAATCCTCTTCCTTACACACAAGGTCTAGAATAATCGGGCCCCATCTTATCATAATGATTTTATAGTATTGAATCACCCCATTAAAGCACTTCACTCTCAGACTACGGGCTTTATTGTGGTTCCTAGAATATTTAAAAGTAGAATGGCAGGCAGAGCCTTCAGCTTTCATGCCCTTCTTCTGAGGAACAAACTTCCAGTTCGGACTCGAGAGAAAGAAACTGGTGGAGGTTTCTTCCTGTTAAAAGTGTGTTTTTCCTTCCCACTGTCACCAAAGCACTTGGCCATAGAGGTCATATGTTTGTTGGTGTTTTCTCTGTTTTCTTTGTATTATTGTAGGGTCTATACCTTACAACATAAAGCACCTTGAGGAAACAGTTGTTCTGATTCGGCACTTTATAAATAAAATTGCATTGAATTGAATTAATACCTTCTCTGCAATTTTCATACGGTGCAATGAAATGTAATGTGTATGATTAGAGTGTGTGAACTGTGATACTTGGTGGCTTTGCAGTTTATCACCCAGTTGGTTTCACATTCTAGCATCAAGGTATAGTTTTTACAAATAGGATGCATACCTTATTTGGACAGTTTGCAGTTATACAATGAAAAAAAGCCCAAATGGAACATAATATCAAAAAATATGTGTAAAATATTTGTGAATATTATATTTAAATCATCTCTCTTCTGAAAACAGAGTTCTGGCAGTTAATTTCACACTACAGAATGTTATTGGATGTTCCAGATCACTCAGCTGGCTTGTCCACTAAAAAAAAAGAAGAAGAAGAAAAAGTTGATATGGCAGTTATTAGTTTAATATAAATCACTATGTCAAGACATGAGCTCTGAATCCAGGTTTTAATTCATACTCACAAGTGATCGGTCCAATGGTGACGGGATTCATAAAAGCTGAGTTGGAAACAGAGCGATGTGCCCTACTTGTGCACGACTACAAAGGGCAAAAGAATGAGAAAAGAGATATAGGATTTAAACCAGAGAAACCATTTTGGATTATGGAGTACTGCAAAAGTGAAATGTGGAACTCACTGGTACACAGTTGTAGTTCCTCTGGTTACACAGGCTGAGGCTGCAGTGAAGGTAAATGTCTCTGTATTCACCCTGGAGCAGGAAGAGCAGAGCAGAGAAACGAGCTCGGAGGGACGAGCCGCTCTCAACTATTGACACCTTTAGGCGGTCAGTGGGACACCTGTGAGAGAGGAGGGAGGAGATCAGCAGGGTCCACACACTTCACTGTATCTCACAAAGCATTGGTGAGGTTGGAGAGATGCACATACTTGTTCTGGATGAGAGGATATTGTGTGGGATCATCAGGGTTTGGTGAGTGAGTGGCGTAGCAGTCCTCCAGAACAGCTGCCAAAACTGGGTCTGTGTCCTCCACAGAGATGCCCACGTACAGAGGTGAACCCACTGGGAGGAAGACTTGGCCTGGTGGATAAGACTCAGTGTAGTTGGAGTTGCGGAACAGAGACATGGAGGCTCGAGCTTTTGGACCCGAACCTGAAATTCCTCCAGTGAACCTGACAAAGGGAAAGAAAATTATATAATGCAATTAGTACTACTCACACACTACTTGCTGCTATTCTGTCTTTTTCCTGGTTTGTGTAAGAAGACAGCTTTGGATTTGTTTTCTTCAAAAGTCTGATGGTTCGAGCCCCAGCTCCTCCAGACCATATGCTGGAAATGTCTTTGGAGATGGTGCTAAACATGCATCCATTGGTATGTGAGCATGTGCAGATAAAAAGTGCTTCAAGTGCATAGACTCAAGTAGTTGAACAAGTGAAAAAACACTGCCTAAATAACAGATTATATAGCTGATTTAATTTTAACACTAGAGTTTTAATCCAGTAAACATGTTTTGTTATGTTAACTGACAAATCTCCCTTCTCTGACTGGAAAGAAGACTTTGTTTATTCTATTTTATAAACTTTATTTTATAAAGTCCAAGATATATATGTATTTTGAGCAAAAAGCAACAAAGTCTCTTGAGGAAATTGTGCGACTAAAAAGACATTTGCACTGGTAAAACGCTGCCTCCTGGTGGTAAATGTTTGTTAAATTCTGCATTGAATAATTACAAAACATATCTTTAAACTACAACTAGGCAGCAAACTGTTAACTGTAAACAACTTAATGTGGAGCTTTCTAAACAAACTGTAACGCTGTTTGGAAAGTAGCCTCACAACTAAAAGCACTTAAGTTTATGCATGAAGGATCTGAAAATGACTTTCAGTGGTCATGTTAAATTACAAACAGCCCACAGTAATGCATGCTTACTCTCTCATGAATGGTTAAAAGAAACACACACAGTAAACAAGATTCATCTTAATTATTGCAGTTTGTTAACAGAATAATTGAAAAGAGTGGGGTAATAATAACATATACTAAGTGATGCTGCAGTTAAATTCAATGAACTTACAGGTCTGGCCTGATAGCTACATTCAGGCTGGCGTCTGTGTCCAGGGGATAAGCACAGGAGAAGGGAAGACCCACAGGAAGAGCGAAGGACAAATTAGCCAGAGGGTAGATGAATAAACTGTTGAAGTAGATGACATGTGTGCTGTTGGTCTGAAAGACAGATGATGACATTTTCAGTCAGTTCAGAAATCATGTCACCTAGAGAAAGTCTAATCACCAGAGACATGTCCACAGGGGTTAATACAGTGAATCCTTCTGAAGTCTCTGACTGCTGTTGCTCACTTTTTTCTCCTTGGATAACGAAAAAGCCATTTGATGCCAAAACACAGTCTACAGCCACCTTATCACAAATTAATTGAACAGTAGTGTTTTTTAATGGGACAGTTAAACAATAGGAAAAAGAAATAAGTCTTTACCCTCAGCACATTTCCACAGGCACCTGCCCGAGCCTCCATTTCATACCAAACATAATCATCACGGACTCTGACCCAGGAACAGTTGCTGGAAGCCAGGTTGCCCGAGAAGGGGTTCAAACCGGAGGATGACATGCTGCCCATATGCAGACCTACTTGGATTTTATCACGGCCACAAATTAACTGTGAAGTCTGGAGTGGAGGCTGCTGGACTAAAGAAAAAGACATGAGGTCACTAATAAAAAATGAAAGCAGATGAAATAGGAAATACCAAATGAGGCCAGCATGAGTACTTCCATGTCATAATATAATATAATATAAGATAAAAGATTTCATTATTTCAATTTTTCAGTATGTAAGAACTTTAACTTACATTCACATACGACACTGGCATCTTCATGGTGACCACAGTCGTGGACTCCAAGCCCGTTGTGTCTGCAGTCAGTTATTGATG